AAAAAATGGAAACAAAATCTTTGCAAATAGGGAAGGGTGGAGGGGGTGAAGGGAGGGCAGGGGAAGGGGAAAAAAATAAGAACCAAGAGACTCATGTAATGGTACAAGATTCCAATGATGTGTGTAACTGTATTTTATACCTAAAATGTACCAATAAACTTAATGGGAAAAATAAATAAATAAATAAATAAATATAGTAGGTGCACATAAATAGTATTTCTTTTATATGAACTTAATTCCTAATATTCTAGGTGACACAAAAAATATTGAGAGAATATAACTTTGAAGTTTCTTATTAATAGATCATTTTTAATATTGAATAATTAATATTTTATTCATAGCATACATGTCTACCTGCGCGGAAAGCAGTGGAAGCCACTCAAGTTTGTAGGACCAATAAAGACTGTAAAAAAAGCTCAAGTTCAAGTTTTTGTATAATACCTTCTTTGGAAACCCACACTCGCTTAATAAAAGTGAAACACCCACCTCAAATTGATATGTTGTATGTAGGTCATCCACTGCATCTTCACTATACAGGTTGGTATTGTGGTAGACCCTCAGGTGGGTATTACGTGGTAGACCATTAGAAAATCATTAAGATCATGCATACTCTCAGTGGTAGAAACTCAGTACAAATCCTTGCCTTAATTTCATTTATTATAAATTTGATCACTTATCAACGTTTTACTGCCTTTTTCTTAAGCATCAAATGAAAATTAGGCGCTAGGATGATAATCTGAATTTATGAAGCAAGAGAAAGAACTTGCCCTGGAGAATGATGCATTTTTCCTTCCCCACTGTTTATGCCAAGTTAAATAGATAATCTCTCAGATGTTCTCTGAGAGTTTAGCAAACTTATCCAAGCTCCCTAAAACAGTAGCAAGAGCTGCAGACCCTAAGGAATACCAGGATACAAGGAGACGTAACTATAACTTATGCATGACCCGTGAATTATATATGAATATAATTGCAAAATTGGGCCAACATCATCATTTTACCAATAGCCACATGATTGGGTTAAATATATAGCTTCTGCATATGGCTGAATGTCATATAGTTTAACTCATTTTATGGCATAAGATTCCTTATGTTACAGTTTTAGTGTGTTTACTATGCAATTTGCCCACTTAAAGTACTCAATTGAGTGGTTTTTTTAGAATATCCAGAGGTGAGCAACTATCACCACAATCTAGTTCTAGAACATTTTCATCAACCCAATAAAAAAGCTACTATTCTTTAAGCAGTCACCTACTGTCTCCCCAACACCCCCCAGTCCTTAGCATCCTTCAAGGTTCATCTATATTGTAGCATGAATCAGTACTTCATACCTTTTATAGCCAAATAATATTCTATTCTATGGACTGACCAAAGTTGTCTTTATTGATTTATCAGTTGATGGTTACGTAGGTTTTATGTTACTCTTTAAAACGCTTTATATTGTATTTTAGTCATATCCTGAGAGAAAACCTGGGTTATTTTTCTTATCTATTGGTTTGACACTAAATGACTTTTGGAATATTAAATGCATTCTCAACAATTGAAGAATTGTACCTACTTCAGGTAATTCAGTAATGTGTACCATGGGTTCTCCCTAATTACAGGATAGGTTTTAATGTTTTAAACAAAAACAAGATTATGAAACCCCTTGTCTTAATCCTTTTTTTAGCTGTGAAGTAAAGAACCGAGACCAAAAGAAAACCCAAGTAACATATAGTTGGAATAAATGTGAAATGATAAGAGCTCTTTTGGTATAAATTACAGTATATTTTAAGTCAACCTCTATATTTGGTAGTCATACTTGGTTTATAGTATTTTTATCTTACTCTCACCTCAAAATATAAGTATACACGGGGGTGTGAAATTCATTACACTATTTTTATCAAATATTTTAGAATAATCAATTGCTTTCCTATGTGAGGTATATAGCCTGCCTACATATGTTTAGGAAGTACTTTCTCAACCAATTCAATAAGCTAGCCCAATTTTTGACCATATGGTAAAATTCATAATGCTGTTGGTAATCTGTTATGAATAATATTCATTATTCCTTTGTTTTATTTTTTAGTGAGCATCACCAGTTTTATCCCACGTTTCAACTTTCTCAGCATTGATCTCCCAGTGATGGTGGAGACATTTGTCAAGTATCCTTTCTGGTATGAAAAATTGTTTTACAAATGTGTTACGTAGAACTTGATTAGTTTTACCTTGAATAGAGCATTCTAGATATAGACTGTGCAGGTATCAATTGCTAACAACTAAAAATGAGACTTTAAAGCTGAAAGAGATAGTGCTCTATCTAGGAAGGAAAGAGGAGAAAGATTGATTAGGGAGGGAGAAAGGTTAAGATGTAGAAGAGAAGGAACCCAGGATACAAATTGATAGTTGAATTTATAAAAGATGAATCCTTGGGCCGGGGATTTAGCTCAGTGGTGCTGCATACTGTCTCTCAAGCACAAGGTCCTGAATTCGATCCCCAGTACCCAAAAAAAAGCAACTCAGTGGACAAAATCTCATGTGGTCTTTAGCATGTAATGTTTGAAAATAAAAGATGAATTTTTAAAAAAAATTGATTATTTTATACACTTGAATCAATGAAAAGTTTTGGAAGAGATCTTTATTTGTATCACTTTTAAATCTTTTTAAATTTTTTCATTGATTTGCAACAAAATGAAATGGAGAACAAATGAGCATTACTAAAAGTGTATAATCAAGTTTGTATCTTGAGGGCCGGGGATTTAGCTCAGTGGTTCTGCCACCTGCCTTGCAAGCAGAAGGACCCGAGTTTGATCCCTGGTACCAAAAAAAAAAAAAGATTGTATCTTAAAGTCTTTGCAACTTTTTCTGCAGAGATTTACAGTATAACCTTTTTTTCTTTTTTCTTTTTTTTTGAGACAGGGTTCCGCATTGTAGTTTAGACTGTCCTTGAATCCACTATGTAGCCCAGGCTAGCCTCGAACTCATACCTATCCTCCTGCCTCAGTCTCCCTAGTGCTGGGATTACAGGCGTGTGCTACCACACCCAGCTACATGCTACACTATAATCTTACAGATGATGATATACTAAAACAAGGTTCAAGGGTCAAAATTTCTTTTTTTCTTTTTTTTTTTTTTTTTGGTACCAGGGATCGAACTCAGGACCTTGCCCGTGTGAGGCAGGCACAGTGCCACTGAGCTACATCCCCAGCCCAAAATCTTTGTTTCTTAATGTAAGATTTGCTAAGGATCAAAAAATAGTTTAGGGGCTGAGAATGTAGCTCAGTTGTAGAGCACTTATTTAGTATGTGCAAGGTCCTGGGTTTGTTACCCAGGACTACAAAAACAAAACAACATAAAAAATTAAATTTTTCCTTATTTTTTATTCCTTCTACATTCCTTTCCCTTGGTATATCATTAAGGAATTATAAAGACTTAGTCTTCCTAGGAGTTCATTATAGATTGGTTAGTCTCTAAGTGCTTTGTTTTTATTTTTCTAGTCGAAGTTTTTGAGCTTCAAAATAGTATAAACTCATTTGTTTTAAATAATAGAGATCTATGAAGGTATGGAAAAGATTTAAAGAGTTTTTTAAAGTCTATTGTGATTTCATCCAGCACAGTACAGTATCTACTAACTCATGTATGGTTTCCACTCACATATCACAGCTGGCTCCTTAACTGATTTTAACCCAGGTACCTAATTTCCCTTTCTGGAGCTCTAGCCATTGTTAATGCAGTGCCCTGCTTTGCTTTGGATGGTCAGTGGATTTTAAACTCTTTCCTGGATGCTACTCTTACGTCAGTGATTGGAGATAATGATGTCAAAGATCTAATAGGATTTTTCATCTTGCTTGGTGGCAGCTTACTTTTGGCTGCCAATGTCACCCTGGGACTCTGGATGGTTACAGCACGGTAATGTTTGTACTCATCTGACAGAATGTCTGAGTTATATGGTAATATCCATTGACATTGAAATCCTTATGTGGTATGAAATGTAAAGTGTTTCCTTAAAATTATATTTTGGCCAACATCTTTAAGCTCCTCCTAGATCCAAAGTATGGTGTTAGCAGGATAAACAGAAGCAATGAAAGGCACAGTAACTTATTACATGTTAGTTAAAGATTGAATGTATACACTTCACATATTTGTGGAACAATTTCTAAACAAGTACAAATTCATGTAATACCATTTTGTGTAACTTCATGTAGTATTGAAATAGTATAAAATATAATATAAAGTATTGAAAACAGAACTGGGTGGAAATAATTAGTAAAAACTTAGTGTCATTAGTCAATATTTAAAGGAGACCAGGGCTGGAGATTTAGCTCAGTGGTTCCGGCACCTGCCTCACAAGCGCAAGGTCCCGAGTTCGATCCCCGGTACCAAAAAAAAAAAAAAAAGATTTTAAAGGAGACCAGACTTTGGCTATGCAGAAGAGTGAGTGTATTCTTGGCCTCTATCTTTGTCTTGTTTGAAAAGCATTTTAAAAGTTAATGATATGTTGTTTTATACTTTGAAAGCTGAGGTCTGATTACAGTTAAATTAATAAAATTCTATGAAAGACTCTACTGACATCAAAGGTGAAGTCTTTGTCAAATGATACCAAGGAAATGAACAGAGTTGAAAATAGGGCCTCTGATATCATGAGATAGTTTTTCCCCACAAGTGCTGCCTGGTTGATAAAGTGTCTTTGCACCCTCATGAAACAGCATTAGCCTTCTTACTCAGCTGCCGGAAGTGTCTCACACCAGCAGCCTGTGAGCTGAGGCAGTCAGGGTTGAACCTCAGAACTAAGCCAGGTCCTCTGACAGATCACAGTACTAGGCACAGGATCTTCAACAGACCTGGTTACTACTATTCTCTCTAGAGCTCTGAAGCTTACAACACTCCCAGAGCAGACATTTTCTCTTCTGCTACTGAGGCCATCTGGGCCTATCTTTGAGAAGCAGTGACCTTAACTTTGAGCCATACTCTGTCCTCACCAGTGGGCTTCCATGCTTCTCTGTGCTGGATGATTAAACATCTAGTCCTTGCCTTCCATCCTTCCTTTAAGCTGCCTCTGTGGGTCCACAGAAGACCTGGTAGTACAATGATAGTGGCTACACATGAGAGGGCACAAAAATGTATTTGCCAGAGCCTAGGAATGTTTCTTGAATCTGAAAATGCCACACCTGGTTTCAGGGTCTTAGGGAATAAAGATACAACCCTGGGAAATTTGGGGAGCCAGCCGGCCAGTGTGAAGCTGTCTTAGAGGCTGTTTCATGTGTGTGTGTGTTTTGCAGTACTTGGGATTGAACCCAGGGACTTGCTCATGCTAGGCAAGTGCTCTATCCCCAAGCTACATCTCCAGCCCTTTTGATTTTTTATTTTGAGAGGATCTCACTCACAAGGCCTAGGCTGGCCTTGAACTTGCAATCCTCAGCTTCCCAAATAGCTGGGATTACGAGTATGCACCAACAGTCCCAGAGAACATGCTGTTTCTTTGATGAAAAATGCATACTTCACTCATATACTCAAGAGGTGATAAAAAGCAATAACCCATTAATAACAGTGACTTGACCTTCTTCACTAAGTGAAGGACTCTGTGGGTTATCTTTTTCAGATCATTAGTTGTTCTTTAAGCACTAAAGCTTTTAAATCATTTTAAAGAAACTTTTTAGATTATATTATAAATTTTTCTTCCTTCTTACACGGATCTTATATATTGAATATATTTTTAGCATTAATGGTTCAGCTCATCAGTTAATACCAGTACTAAAACTATACAAATTACTAGTTTTTGCCAGAAAATGTGGCATTTATTCTGTTCTTAGGTAGACAGTCATTCAGGACCAAAGTACATTAGCATAGTAATACCCAGACTTGTTCAGGTGAATTTGGGGAATACCATGAAATACTTGCATAATTAATTTAATTACATGAATTAAACAGTTTATTAAATGTTGTGTATGTGCAAGTCAGTTTTTTTAAAACAGAAAAAAAGTTTTGCAGTGCTGGGGATTAAATCCAGGGTCTCACGCATGGATGGACAAGTGCTGTATCACTGAGCTACATCCCTAGGCAAAGAAAAAATTTTGCAGAGGAAATTCTACCCACTAACTACTCTTTATGGGTAAAGAAAAGAAGAAACAAAGCCTCATTTTATCTTAACTGTTAAGCACTGTGGTCTGCTAATCCATAGGATCAGGATTTGGGAACTACTGAGGGAGGAAATTGAGCAAATCAATACCATTTGTGTAGGAATGGCCTCATTGTATAAGAAAGGAAGTGTTATGGGTTGTCTCTTCAGCTTGACTGTGGGCTCTTCTAGAGCAAGGACCGTGTCATATTCAACTTTGCATCCTTGCCACAATGCTTGAGACATCGTAAGTACTTAATATGGTTGAATGGATGGTGATTAATGTTATTTATGGATTAGAAAAGCATGCTTCTATTTAAGTAAGCTGTAAAAAGTATTATTAAACATTTACTGTAAATATGTATTAACATTTAAAAAATTGGAAGGTCTTTATGTCCTTGGTATATTATCATCTTTATGAATTCATAAGAATCTATTTTAGTTTCTGTAGAGCAGTTAGAAAAATGAGTTGTTTTTGAGGATTTGAAGAAAAGTGTTCTGTATTGTCACTTTAACAGTGAAATTTTATTCTTTGTTCCTACTCTGCATTGTTTACATTTTGAAAGTTTTTTTAATCACCTGCAATCAGTAAAGAATGTATATTCTTGTCAACATCTCAACTTGAAAAGACATACAGTTAACCTTTTGACCTTTTGGCAATTGCTCTTCTAGGTCATTGTTCTCACAGCAAATTGTAGACTTGTGCTTCATAGTTATATGTCTCTCAGACATCATTCTGTCCTATGATATTTCTTGAATGTCCACACACTAAGGATGCACAGGAATTTTTTTTTTAATAAATCCTTTGTGCTGTAAAATTTACTCTTAAGCGTTAACTTGAAGATACCATAATTGCTGGTATTTGATATTTAGCAGTAAAAGAATAAATATACCAGCATTTTATGTTTATAATTATCTGTGTTTTTTTTAAATTGTGGTTTTTATCAAAACTGTTGCCCTTATAAGAGTTAGATCTTAGTCGTTTTTAAATTCTTGATTCTAAAAGCAGCTTTCACTTTTCATTCACATAATCTGTATGAAAGTTAATGCAGATCTCAGTAAGAAAACTTTTAAATGAGGTTCCTGTGTTCTCACTACTATTTTGGAAATGACTGGTATATGAATAAACAAAGAATATTATCATGTTTCCTTTTTAGAGTCTGACAGAATTCTTCTGTAAGTTCATCTGTGTTTTTTAGGAATTCTTGAAAGTCTTTTAACTGTAACACTTGGTTGATTCTTGAGCTTTTGCCCTAATGCATCCTATTGTGTCTCCAAAACCAGCCTCCCCACCCTCTTTGCGCTCTCCCTCTCTTTACCTAGGACCCCCAGAATTGGCTGGGAATTTAGCCCAGTTCCTGAGTGGCTAGCCTCATTCCATTCCTCACCACTGATCCTGTTACACTACAGTTAAGACGAAATGACTGATTATCTGAACCACTTTTAAAACAGCTTTATTGAGATGAGTACCATAAAATTCACCCATTTAAAGTGCGTAATTCAGTGTAAACGATTTTTCTTTTAAAGTTTGATCTAACAAAGTATACATATGCTTTAGTATTATCTAAGCTTTTAAGTAGATGTACCTATGATAAAAGATTGGAAGGGGGAAATATGTTATTTCACAACTATATTAACTTGAGTAATTTTCACCACTGAAATGGAGTTGAATAACGTTTATTTTGAAGGTAAAGCATGTAGATGTATTTCTTTGCGGTGAGCATTTTAAATCAGTACATTTGCACTCTTGCTATTTAGGCCACACTAATTTGAATAATCCATTATATATTTTATTAAACTATGGCAGATGAATTCAGTGAAAAGAAAGCCTCCTTTCAGAAACAAATGTTACAATATGGTGTACTCGGTGTCAGTAGAAAAAGAAATGGCTAGAGGAAGTTGTAATTCTAATTACAAAGCATGTGTAATTAAAGCATTGTGTAATTTAATTTCCCACTGAAGAGGAGGAAAAACATCCCCTTCTTAGTTTTGTTTTGCTAAAGATTAATGGATAGCCAACAATTGTCCCTTCTTACTAACTAGATGCTTCTCAAACTTTTTACGGACATGTTATGTGGAGGAAAACCGCAGCAGGATCTAAGAGTACAATCTTATAATTGGCTCTCTGTGGTATAAAATTGAAGTCTCACTTTATCTTAAATTTATGTACATAGATCTTGCTTTCTGTTAATCAGATATCGTAAAGCCAGGTCTCATCATAAAGCCAGTTCTCCTCTTAAAGATATGAAACTAAACTGTAAAAAAAATTAGACTATAAAAATACCAAAATTTTTTTATTTCTAAAATACATTGATAGAAAGTTTATGACAGCTGGTCTGTAGACTAGTGACAGTCTGCGGGGGTGCTTTTGTCCATCTGTTGTGAAAGGAGGAAAAAAAGCACATGTACAATATTGTCTTTAACTATAAATTAAATATAATATATATGTGATGCTATAAAGCTGCCTACTGCCCTTTATCAAAGTGCTCTTTTATTTAGATTATGGAAATACATGCTTAATTTCCTTTAACACTGCCAGATTTCTCTCCATAAATGGCTTTTTATAACCAGTACTCTGTGGAAAGGCATGAAAGTTCCATGTTTCCCCAAACCCTTACCACCACCAGAAATATCTGATTTCCATGTTCTGGCAGATCTCATTATAATTTTCCTTTGTCAGATTATTCATAAAGTTGTACATCCATATCATTTTTTGCCATTTTGATTTTTCATTTTGCCAATTGGTTATTCATATCCTTTGCTCAACTTTCCATTGAGTGTCCTAATTTTTCTTATTGATCCATCAGAATTTCTTGTATATTCTTGATTAGGGATCAACAAACTACAGCCTTGTAGGCTAAATCCTGCTTGGTACTGATTTTGGCACAGTTTTATTGGAACACAGCCACATTCATTCATATATGTATTGTCTTAGGATGCTTTTGTTCTACAATGGCTGAGTTGAGCAATTGCAGCAGAGACCATATAGCCCACAAAGGCTAAAATATTTGCTCTATTTTTCAAATAAACAGAATAGGCCAGGGATTTAGCTCAGTGGTTTCACAGCCTGCTGCGCATGCGCAAGGACCCAAGTTCGATCTCTGGTACCAAAAAAAAAAATTAAATAAAAAAAAATAAACAATAACCCATGCTCCAGATATCAATCTTATCCACTTAAGATGTTGCAAATAATTTTTACAATCTGTTACCCATTTGTAAATTTTATTTATGAATTGTTGAATAAAGATCTTTACTTTCTTGACTTATTGTTTGTGTTTTGTGAGTCATTGAAAAAGTCTTGTCCTATCCCCAAGCTTACAATAATATTCTCCTACATTTTCTTCTATTTGCTTTAAGTTGTACTTTCACGATGAGATCTTTAATGTCTGAAACATGATACAAAGTAGGGTATCCAGGTTTGTTTTTCTGTACAGACTAAACTATCCTTAAAATGGACATAGTAGTATTTTTCTTTTAAATAAAATGATTTCTGTAAATTTCGTTTAGATGTGTTTTTTTGTTTTGGTTTGTTTTTTTGTGGTATCAAGAATCGAACTCAGGACCTTGTGCTTGCCAGGCAGGCACAGAGCCACTGAGCTACATCCCCGGCCTTCTGTAAATTTCTTAATATGATACCTAGCATATTCATGTTATCAGTACTGTGTTCTTAAATTATCTTCAAAATGCAGAATTCTGGCATGCTTTACTCTCATAGCTCAGTCCTCACTGATAGTAAACCTTGCCGCCTTTTGGTATGCCTTCTAGGCTTCCAGTGCCTTCAGGCTGGTTCTGGTTGTCTAAAGTGATTCCCAGACCTTGACCCTCTTAAGCATTTCTTCTCCTGATCAAATTAGGTGAAAAAATCACAATATTTAAACTATTAGCTAAGTATTTTGCTTACTGCATCTAGTCACAATAACCTGTGTTCATGCATGTTCACTGACGGTAACATAAGCCAATATTTAAATCTGATTTTTATGGTTTATATCTAAATGTCCCCCAAAGTCTTATGTGTTCATAGTTGGGGCTTTTGGGAGGTGACTGGATCATGGGTGTGTGATATTCATCATTGGATTAGTCCACTAGTGGGTTTATATCTGGGTGTGATGTTGAAAGGTGAAGCCTGGTGGGAAAAGGTAGGTCACTGTGGGTGTGGTGTGGAGATAGATAAATAGATGGATGAATAGACAGACAGATCCCTGTCCCTCCCTTGATGGCACACTCTGCTTCCTGGCTGCTATGCTATGAGCTTTCTCCTCTGCCATGCCCCTCTGCCATACTGCCCTGCCTTGGAGGCAGTCGACTGTGGACTGAAACCTCTACAAACTGTGGGCCAGAATAAACCTCTCCTCCTTTAACTTGTGAGTGTCAGGTATTTTGTCCCAGCAGTGGGAAAGTGACTAAGACACTGGCCTTATGAAAACAGTATTTTAACTCAGAGGGAGACACTGTGGCAAGCAAACCAATATAAGAGAGAATTTGGATTAGGATGGCCTTTGAGGCCAGCAAATCAGACAATAGGAAGCTCTCTATATGGTATGGGGTATTGTGTTTCAAAATAAACCCTTTTTTAATGTGTTCGTTGTAATTTTTATTTTTTGTTAAAAAAGAGGCTAAACTTTAAAAACTGTATATTCTTTTGTACACTGTTAGTAACATCCTTTCCTCATGCTTCCCTGTAATGATTGTCATCTTACTGCTTTTCATCATTCAGTACTCACATTTTTACAAAGGATTTACAAACTTAAACTGATCTTCGTTTACAGGTCTCTGATTTTCATGCTTATTAATATCCCTGCTTACCTTTGGGTTACTTTGTTTCCATCCTTTAATGGCTTCTAGTTTTTATTTCTAGGCTTTATGTGTCACTAGAAATCTACAGTGCAGGTAGCACTATACAATTTACAGAACGCCCAGTTCTCTAGTTCAGGGCACCCCTTTTCCATCATGGAAATACCTAAGACACAGGTTTGTAACCTAGAATTTGTTCAGAGAACATAGAATTGCAACAAAAGAAGATAATGTAATTTTTTAGACTTTTATTAGAAAAGTAATTTATTACTAGAAAAGAAATGCAGGTTCATTATATAAAACGTTTGGGAAAAATAGTGATTTATTGAAAAAATAGGATAATTTTATACATAAACTAGTAACCTAATATTCAAACTTGACAATGTATTATAAGGATTTTTCCATGTTATTAATATTCAATGGGCCAGTAATATTGCTGTGTTAACTATGCTATGATTTAATCACTTCCAAAGGAAATGGATAGTCTTAAGAAATATTCCATACCAACCAGTGAGAGTCATAAATTTATTTCCTTCTGTAACAAATATAATTAGTAAAATAACCTCTTGTTTGGAAAAGTAAAATAATAAATAATTGCCTTTTTGTTTTCTTTTCTTTTTTTTTTTTTTTTTTTGGTACCTGGGATCGATCTTGGATCCTTGCGCTTGCACAGCAAGCGGCGAAACCACTGAACTAAATCCCCGGCCCAATAATTGCCTTTTTCACTTCAGTAATAAATGAAGTATATATCTCATGTTTTGATTGAATAGAATGCTTAAATCAATTATTCCTTAAAGTTTTTTTTATAGAATTAGTATTTCTTATTCCTAAACAATACAGAGGAGCCATCTGGATATTAACCTCAACATATGTCATTATTGAAAGATACTGTTTTCATCAACTTCTTAATTGACATGTTTTTTGCTTCATAGATGTTAGAGCTTTAATTCATTTGTTAAAAAATTTTCTTTGGAACAAGTATCCTGATTTTAAAATAAGAATTTTGGGCCTGGAATTTTGCTCAGTGGTTCCGCTGCCTGCCTAGCAAGGGCAAGGTCCTGAGTTCGATCCCTGGTACCAAAAATAAAATAAAATAAGGATTTTATCTTCATCAGTTTTAGTTATATAATGATTAAGTATGGAGCACTGCATTCTTTGATCACTTGTTCAAATATGTGCATTAATTTTTTTGTCATAATTCAAATCATGAAACTAAGGAGTAATAAAGATACTATAAATTTGTATTTTATTGCAAAATTTTAAATCAATTGAAAAGAAGTGCTTTTTTGTGCTTAAAATGTTTTTCTTCTGCACTCACTCTATTTGACTTTTTTTTTTTTTTTTTTTTGGTACTGGGGATTGAACTCAGGACCTGGAACCACTGAGCTAAATCCCCAGTTGTATTTGACTTTTATTTTTTGGTACTGGGGATCAAACTCGGGTCCTTGCGCTTGCGCAGCAGGCAGCGAAACCACTGAGCTAAATCCCCGACCCCTATTTGACTTTTAAACTTGCCAAGTTTTAAGAGTGTGACACTTGTAAATATGTCATATGATTAAAAAAGATTCCATTTTCTCCCTGCTTATCTCTATTCTTCAGTCAATGGAACTGATAAACACAATCTTTTATTCCTTTAACAAATATTTATTGCACACTTGATATGTGCTAAGCAGTGTTCTAGACTCTGAAGATACAGCAGTAAATTACACAATTCTCTTTTGCATTTTGTAAGAAAAAAATGTCATTTACAGTGATACCTTGGTTATCGAGCTCAATTCATTCCAAATTCATTTCTCAACATCAAAAAGTTCAAGAACTGATCATATTTTTCCTAGAAGCAATAATGGAAAACCAAATAATTGGCTCTGAGACCCAAAAATTACACTTATAAGTTCACTTTTCCAGGACTTTGACAAATTTTGTGGTGATTTCTCTCTTTAACTCTATCATAGTTCTCAGTTTTCCTCTTAGTTTTACTGCTGGTATCACTAACTTTCTTTGAAGCCGTGGTTACAGTATTCTATTCAAATAAAGCACAAAAAAAGGCAGCATGATATCGAATGTTTTAATGCACTGACACATGCACTATATGTTGTCTGAGTAAGAGCAGTGCTTAGGCTGAAGTGTCACCCCTTTGTGTCCTCAGCGAGATGCAGTGCATGACTCTTGGCCGTGCAGGTTTTTTCAAGTTGGATATTTGGTTCAACTATCAAGCAAAGTTACAAACACCTAGCAGATTTTTTTTGAACTTTACTGTTGGAGTAATGGAAAGTTTGAGCTTGGAGCTGTTCAACAACCGAGGTATCACTGTATTTTAAAACCAATAACTATATCCTGAGCACTAAATGTCGCAAACATGGACTGGCAAAACATTAAGCTAGGAAGATTAGCAGAGACCAAGTTTTAGAAATACATTAAGGACAGAGTTGACTTTAACTTCATTGCAAATGAGAAGTTATTGAAAACTGCAAGCAAGAGACTACCATAATCAGATTTGCATTTTGGATACAACCACCTTGACTGAGGGTAAAGAACACCGGGAGGAAAACAAACTGGCAGCAAATAAATTGGTTGGGACACTGTTCTGGTAATCTCCAGCAAGAGATGATGGTGATTAGAATAGGGTGGTAGCAATAGAGATCAAAAGAGAGACAAACTATGTTTTATGGTTAGGAGCAGATTAGGTTCAAAAAGAGGTCAAGAATACAAACAATGGCCATGCCATTAAGGGAAGTAGGGAGTACTAGAAAAGGAGCATTTTAATTTGGAACTCTTGAGTTTGAATGTCTGAGAGAGTTGCAAGTGGATATGATAAGCCAGCAGCTGCATGTGCAGGTGTGGAACTCAGGAGAAATGAGTTGGAGATAAAATACATGAGCTGGTGCATCTCAAATACACAAGTGAATCCTTGGAAGTGGATATAGTTCAGAATGTAGAAAAATAAAAAGGAGAGAAGGTATCCTAGGATAGAGATCAAGGGAATACTAGTGCTTAGGTTAAGAAAGAGAGAAAAGAAAGAGAAAAAGAAAGAAAGAAAAGAAATGGACTGAGGGTGTAGCTCAGTGGTAAACCACATGCCAAGCAAGTTCAAGGCCCTGGGTTTGAACTCCAGCACAAAGAAAAGAAAAGAGAAAAGGAGGAAGGAGGGAGGGAAGGAAGGAAGAAGGGAAGGGAAAAGAAGCAAGCAAGCTGAGAAGAGTCAGAAAGTTTAAAAGAATGGGCTAAGGTTGTGGTTCAGTGGCAGAGCTCTTGCCTAGTATGTGCAACACCCTGGGTTCAATCCCCAGCACAAGGGAAGGAGAAAGTGAGAAAGGAAACAAGAGTTTGCAAAGTATTACAAAAGGGAAGGGATTGGTGTAGAGAAGAAGGGGATGATGTCATAAGATACTTTTGAGAGAGAAGTGACAGGATGAGGACTAAAAACTGTCCATGGTATCTTGCAAAAGATTTCAGAGATGATCTTGAGAAAGC